CACGAAAGTAAGAAATGGTGAAAGCAGCAAAATCCCAGAAGCAAAATCCGCCAAAATCCTACGGTCCCAGAAAAAACCAATGTTTCATGTCTGGTTTAGGATTTTTTTCAAAATTATTAATGTTTTTTTCCAAAATTTTCGAAAATGTTTTTCAACATTCTGCTCAAAACTGCAACGAAAAGGAACTCAGGGCTACTTATACAATTCAAAGCCTTTGGAGAGGTACTCGAAAGCATACAACAGCAATCACCTGCTGGCAGATCCGTTGACGGCTCCCCTCTTTTGATGATTGCTTACAAGCAGGCCAATGGCGGGTTTGACTCCCAGGCATGTGCTCAGTAACAAATTATCGTCGAAATGGATGAACGAAAACTAAAGTATTACTTGCTGCTTTTCGCACAATTTAAAACAAATAATGTATGATAACAGAAAATTTACGATGACGATTTATGATGACGTACGAAATTATGATAATAGTCATACTCAAGAATTAGAATAGAATAGAAATGAACGGCAACAGAATCCCAAACCAAAATTTTGGTTCCAAGTGAGGTGTGGAGGGGTCTTACCAACTGCTGCCTTTCGTACAATTTAAACCATAAATAAGTGAGAACAGAGAAGTTCCGATGACGATTTATGGTAATGCATGAACTTATGATAATAGCCCTACTCATGAATTAGAAATAGAATAGAACTGAAGGGTAATAAAAACCCAAACCAAAACCCTAACCAGTACAAGCTAGGTCGACGGACAGGTTGAAATAAGAAACCTGAATTAGGATTTTTAAAAAATCACTGATACACTTTTCGAAAGGTCCAAGTATGTGAGACTTCAGAAAAATCATGCACTCAAAAAATTTATAAAAAAAAGAAAAAGTTTAGAGCTTCAAAAACAATTAGTTCATATCAATGTGATTCGATTATCAGCAATCATTGCAATATTTTCGGATGTTGCTTGCTCAAATGCTGCTTCAAATTCGCTCTCACTGAACAAAAGTCGACCGGCCTGCGCCTGAAATTGTTTTTTTTTTTGGAACAGAGAAAAAATACGCCTCAATTTTCGTTTATGAAAACTCCGAGGAAAATTTTCGGATTCAGAAAAGACCGGCAAATATGGCACAAGGGGAAATAGCACTATGGTCGTACGCGTGGTCGAAGATTCGACTTTTTTGACAAGACAACCAATCCCTCTGCGATTCCAACTTAGTTAAGTGCGCGAAACTATGCAGATTTAACAGAGTATTTAAATCCGTACAGCCCCACCTTTTGATGGTAAATTGGTAATATCATGTGCCAGAATGTCAAACCCATTAGCAAGACTGCTCCTGAGTGCCTTTGCCGTTCAAAAAAAAAAAACAAATATGGCGAGGGAGGGCAGTGGGGTGGAGGTTTCGGTTTTTGTCTTCAAAAATAATTACAGACTTTCAAAATTAACCTGAATTGCATCACGGATAACGGATAAATCGACCATATCATCCGGATTACCGAGATCATCGAATGCTTTTCTCAGATATCTGCGGAATGTCTTATACCTAAATTCTTTT